AACAGCTGAAACTGTGAACATATGTTCGAAACGAGTGTACCAACAAAAAAAGTCAATATTCGCTAGTTGAATATTCCTACGTATATTTGAAAACATATACATTTCGTTTCTATATGGAATCCGACTAATAACCCGAATATTGATTCTGAAAAAAACGTTAATTTTCAGAGAATGGAATACAATATTGCATTTGTCATACTAATTCCGGATTTTTTTTACCAAATATTGAAAACCGTTCTGTCTACAAATAATTCAAATTCGACACGACTCAAAATCGTTCATTCATTTAATAAATATATGGATGAATTCCCCAGTTTAAAAATATGTTATTATTCCAAAATATTGAATGAAATCAATATTTTCAGAATTATTGTAGAAAATTTAAATTGAAATGAACTCAATATGATTATTCATTTGTTCAGTGTCCGACAATATTCCATTTTATGATACATTTCTATTTTATGTTGGATTAAATACTCTTCTAGTATCGATTTGATGAAATTGTATCGATTGCGTTTGAGAATATAAGTTTGTTGAGTCATAACAATATGAGACGATCAAATTAATATGCACAAATTTGAACAACGTGAATATAAACTCATATGAAATTTAAGGAATCAGAAAGTTGATGTTACAAATTATGTTGTAGAAGGACTACCTCTACTGTGATATAAGATATGGTGGTAATATACTTAGTGATTTTCGAATATAATCGATATCAAAAACAATATGGAAACATATCTTTGTCTCAGCAACGAACGTTGCTGAGACTTCGAGATACCACTGATGATGTCTGCCGTAGTAGCAGACGAAATGTTTGGTGCTTCAAGTTACATTCGACAAATTACATTCAACGACCTCACAATTGGTTACCATTTCCGTAATGAAAGTGCACTTGTGCATGAGTATTGGTGAATGATATATGAAAAGAAGGTTTTTGCATATTTATCACTTTCTGGTCACTTTCGATTGCATTTTTGAATGGAGCACACTGTATTATTCAATATTTTTCAATGTCTTAGTTGATTTTGTTTAGAATGTGACATTTTCAAAACTGTCTACACCTTCCCCATGTTTCAGAGTCACTTCCACTATTGTATCTAGCTGACCATGATTTGACGTGAATCAATCTAAGTGAAGCTTCAATAACCAGTATGATAGGAATGAGAAAATTTGGCAATCTACCTCCTCTCCGCATTTTTCTGGACAGAGAGGCTAGACGGCCGCCTGCATGTAGACTTCTGCACATTGCCAATTGCTCAAATCAATTTAATGCAGAGTGCAACAGACTGTTGTTTGACACTGGAAGTCACAGCATTCTGGACATTACCTCTGACTTTATGCATCCAACTGCCAACCACAAACTGCCTTATAAAGTACTGTTCCCTAGTAGAGAGGACTGGATTCTCCGGTAGAAGGAAATATTAGGAGCAGATAGTTGTTGGTTCACAGATGGATCAAAAACACCTTCCGGTAATGGTGCAGATGTTTTCAATCGCAGACCCAGGACAGAGATATCAACCTGCACAGGAACCCATGCGACTGTATTTCAAGCGGAAATTACGCTATTGAATCGTGTGCGGAGAGATTGGAAGAATCCGACCTCATACACAAGTCTATAAAAATATTCTCGGACAGTAAACCGGCATTGAAAGCTCTTGGCTCCTACCGAGCAACATCTCAATAGGTTGTAAATTGCAAAAAACGACTCTCCTCGATAGGAAGACTAAACAGATTGTCTCTGGTCTGGATTTCTGGCCATACTGGCCTGGAAGGCAATGAGGCTGCTGACTCCCTTGCAAAGGAGTGTGCTGCAAGCAGCTTTATCGGACCAGAACCTGTCATTGACATCGCTTTGGGCTTTGACAAACAAAGATTGAACACCTGGATGGCAAGAATATTTGTGGACTTCTGGTAGAATCTTCCAGGATTGGCTCACTCCGTGGCGTTTATTCACAACTCGAAGCTTGATACCAAACTGTTGTTGGACTACAGTAGGGATGAACTACGATATCTAGCAGGCCTTCTTTCAGGTCACTGTCATTTGAATCATCATATGCAGAGACTTGGACTGTGTGTGTCGCCTCTGTTTGGAAAATGATGAAACAGCAGAGTACATACTTTGTGTCTGCCCCGCTCGGGACCGAATCAGGTTTTTAGAGTTCGGCAGAGCCGAAAGACCACTCACCATACAAACTAATCAGCTTCGTTGAAAAGCTGGATTCATTTAGTCGAGTGTGAAAAGGTGTGAGCCACAATAAACCCTTGTGGGTTACGTTGGAGACAATTTGGTGAAATCACCTACATTATCGTGTCTATGATTTTTCGAATGGAAACACCTTTTTCAACAAGCACTTTCTGAAAAAATGTGTTCCTTGACGAGTTAAATATTACTGGTTCATTTGAAAGTGTATCAACAAATCTAACAAAATCAACCAAACTAACGAGCTTACAAATTAACAAAACTGTCAAAATTGGATAATGATTTCTGCGATGCACTTAAATTATTCAATAGAATAATAATATCCGGATTCATTAAAAATTTCTTCGCAGTAAAATTTCGAAGTACATGACTACTTGTCAAAAATGATACAGCTTTTTCAATTGTTTCTCTCAACACATTCTGTAAAATTTAGAGCCTTGTAATTCTGGCAGGTAGAATTATCTCTTCTCAGATTCAGGAAATACCAATTGATCCATGAATGTTACTGGAGTTTTATTCCAACACCGATCTATTATTTTCAACATCTCGACACGTGTTTCAATTACCAAGTGATCGTCTTCAAGAGGAAGATTAAAAGCTGCAGACCGATTTCAAAATATTACTTCTCATCAGTTGTTCACGAGATGATTGAAGTAAATATTTCCTGAATGGAAAAAACTGTTTTTCTGCTTAAGAATCAGACCGAAATATATTTCATTAAAATGTTATAACAAACTGAAAATTAACAAATATTTTAATATGAAAGTTATTAGTGATCCATTATGATATGATTCAGGAATGTAAAAAATTATTTATTTTGGAGACGTTTCGGATATTGAAAGTATATTTAAGGAATGAAATGATTGGTGAAACATTGAACATCATAAGTTTAAAAAATCTCTGTTTAAAATCTGTTTTTCCATTAACCAGCTGTCGCACCCCTACGAACGACAACCCTCAGAAGTCGAAACGTATGCGAGCTAAGGATTAACGAGGTCTTACCTTTTAACGTGTGATTCCTTACACAGTGTCTCACATATTTTGTAATATTATCTGTCAAAAAAATCTACTGATGTAGTCATAACGATAGAAAATCATAAGCAATCTAAAACATTCCATTTCAAATGCATATGGAAGAATATTATATGAATTTTATCCTAACACCAAATGGTTATTTCAATACCTCGACACGTGTTTCGATCACCAAGTGATCATCTTCAAGAGGAAGAACAAATACTTTTGAAGATGATCACTTGGTGATTGTTCCACTTGTCGAGATGTTGCAAATAATAGTTTGGTGCTGGGATAGAACTCCAGTATTATTCATTACCACACTTAAGGTTCCAAATAGTGCATTACAATCAATCCCTAATTTCAAAAAGTCTTTTCAGTTTCTTCACCTTTTCAGATATCATTTCAATAGTACGTTTTCATTTTAGCCCCAGAATAGCTCTCAGTTTCGACGATTATCCCTCCATTGGCGTTTACCTTCTTTCCAGCGAGCATTCTTCTGAGATCTGAGAACCAGGGAAATAAGCTCGGGGCCACATCTGGGGAATACAGTGGATACGGATGCACTTCGAAGCCCAATTCATGCAATTTTGAAATCGTTTTCATTGATTTGTGACATGGTGCATTGTCTTGATGAAAAAGTTATTTCTTTTTTTTCAAATATGGTCGTTTTTTCGTGGTTGTCATATCACATATCAATAACGCAATGAAATAGCCGCTGTTGATTGTTGAGTCAACAATATCCACCAATATGTTTTATGAAAATTAGTTGTCTTCAAAAATTGCTTTCTGAAAGTGGAATATTCAAAGATTTATGCTGCTACTTTATGTCGACATAGATGTATAGAAGATTTGTGTATAATGGTGTCCTAGTAAAATGGTTTGTGGATAATTTCAAAATCATTATTTCTAGTGATGATGATGATGATGACCAAGTCTCGAAAATTCATAGAGTTATTCACTTCCATCTCAGTTGTGAATTCAATTGAAGGGTGGATGGAATTAACGGATTCAATAAACTTTCGCAGCCGTGAGCATTTACGAACGATGACTACTTGAAAAAAGTACTTGTATGTATCGCAAATTTCTGCCTGTTGGATGTGAAATTGTTTCGTACCATGCTAGATAACATTAAGATATGACTGATACAGACACAACTTAAATTCTTTCGGAAGCGAACGGTGTCCTCTCGAACTAGGCTGAAGCGAACAGAAACAATTGATTTGTCATCGTCCCATCTGCCTGTGAACGAGATAACCAACCGCTTGGAATGATACTCTGAAGGAATTCGATTTTTAATTATCGGAAATCATCGACTTTATGTTGATGATAGACACTACCTTGCACTTACGAATGGCCAAACAGCCCGAAACCGGTCTGCAAGCTCGCACAAGTTTCTCAACTTCTGAGAGTTGTCGTTCGTATGGGGGCGACAGCTGATCAACGGGAAAACAGATTTTTCTAACAGAAGTGTGTTCTGCACTGACACCTGTTGGATATAATCCAACGCCCTTTGTGGTATTAGGTGTCAGACCATTAACCTATAGTGCGGGGAGTTGAGACTGGTCTGAACGAATTGTTCTTTTAGATGATTTGAAAATATATCATTTTATTCCAACTTAAGGATGCTGCTGTCAATAAATAATGCGGCAATGTTAACCAGAAAGACTGCACATGTAACATTAATTCAGGGCTTCAAAGAATTGCTTCCTAGAAATATCCAACATTTGTTGTATGTTGAAATGCCGATGCATAACACATTTCATCTTGGAATTTTTTTTTCCAGAAATTCCTGAAGATGGCCCCGTCCTCAAAGTAGAAATTCAGAAAATCACGCCAGGGGCAGAACTGAAAGCCAATTGTACAACACCAGGGTCTTATCCGGCAATGAACGTATCTTGGTATATCAACGATATTGAGGTGAGTTGTGAATTTCTATAAAAAACGAGATGTATGACAATCAAAATAAGTATAAAAATTCACAGCGGATGATTGTTGAAATTATAGACTGAAATGGTGCATTAAAAATGCATATTCCAATTAACAGTAACCTCAATCATGATTGCTCATTTAGAAGGGAAATCATCCAAACATTTCTTTTCACATATGAATAATCGGTGTTATTCAATTCATATTTCAGCAATACTATTATTTCTAATACTTGATGAAAATACCAAAACACTACGTATACTTTTTTTTCTGGAAAGAATGTGAACAAATCAAAATGTGTTTTGACCATGTGTCATTTCTGTGCGAACGACAACCCTCAAAAGTAGAAACTCATCCGATCTACGCATTATATGTCACCCTACACCGTGGCTTTTAGCACAAATCAGATCCCATAATCACAATGGCGAATAATTTCACGTTTCATCAATACAAGTATATTTCAGTATTTCAATTCTCTGCAGGTGAAAAATAAATTAGATGCGATGGCAGATACATTTCATGTCAAGTTCATTGAAGCAGTAGAAAAATATCTCGTCTGAACGTCTGTACAATTTTCACATGAAAGAGTTAAGAAATAGGAACAAAGTGTCAAGTGAAATAATTTCCTATTGAGTTTTCTTCCAGAGGTTGAAAAATGACTACACGCCAATTCCAGATTTTTGGGAGGGATATTGTTAGCCTGATTGATTTCGAATATTTACACCGAAAATTTCCTAAGGGGTGGGGTTAGGAGATTCTGGACCATTGAGGTGGCTGGCAAGGTCACCTGACCTTACACTTTTGGATACTTTCTTGTGGGGCACTTCAAAGAACAGTGGGTGAATATCACCACACAATTAAGGTTCATCGGAAGAAGGGATATTGTTAGGACTGTTCTTAATTTGAGACGACGAGCTGCCTTATGTATTCAAGAGAAAGGCCATCATTTCGAACACTCGTTGTAATACTTTATGAGCATTTTTAACAAGCTCATGATTTCATTCTTGGTTTTTGAAGCGTTGTTCTATCCGGCTGTTGTCTTTCCAGATATAATTGAAAATGAATTTTTGCTGTTTTCGTTCTATTCCTATCAAATTTATAATAAAGTTTCATAATATCTTGTTTCTCTCTATTCGAGAATGAAGATATTTCGACTGAAATACTTGAAATACTCACTTGATATTTGATGAGTTCTGACAACTAGTGTTTATTGAACAAAATTTTTCGATGGAGTCATGACCATCTCAGATGAAGTTGTTTGTTTCAATGCCTGTGGTTTCAGAACAACAGATCATAACAAATTATACATTAATGAAATCAGAACGAAAAGTATTATTTTTCTGTATAAAAAATATGGTGTACATAATAGAAAAAAAGTTGATGATGATTGCCAGAAGACGAAACGCCGGATAGTAAATCTATACGTGAAAACGTGTAGCTGAAAAAAATATCAATGAAAATGTGTTTTTTATTTTGAGCTATGTTGTCAAATAACGCTAGAAAAAAAACCAAAATTTCGATTTTTAGTTTTTTCCGGATACTCGGAATTTTCTCAAGTTTCAAAACGGTATTTTGTTGAACACAAAAAACGCAATTTTGTCCCAATTTAAGTTTCGACATATCCCTTGTAGGTGAAGTCGGTCGGTAGCCGATCGCTTAGACGTGAGTGCTTTGTTCGCTCACTCGAATTGACCGTCGTGTTGGTCAGTGGTTCAAGCCCTAGGCTGAACGATCGATTTCCACTTTCTATCGTCCAACCCGTGTTAGGAATCACACGTTAAAAGGTAAGACCTCGTTAATCCTTTGCTCGCACAAGTTTCGACTGATGAGGGTTGTCGTTCGTAGTGGTGCGACAGCTGGTTATTGGAAAAACAGATTTTAAACAGATTTTTTTCAAACAGTGGTGGGGGTCGAATTTGAATTACCCTGTATAGACATTTCAGAGTCTAGGTGAAGGTGGAATGATCAATAACTTAGAACTTAAAAAAAATTATCCTGAAAGATATTTTTAATTTTTCCACTTTCGATATATCTAGGATTTCACCAGACAAATCTCGTACAGAAACACTCTGTACGTATGATAATATAAATGAGCCTTGAGCCACATTTTTGCATCGACCAAATGGCTATCTTTCATGTTTCATCAGCTCCCTGGCTATTTGCCAATGCCCACGCTAAAAAGATTATACAGAGAAATCCTTACAAAAACAAAACGATTCCATTTATCTTTTTGTTTGCAGATGCGTTCGAGTTTCGACGTACACATACAGAAGTCAATCGTTCATTTCGATGCTCTCCCAGGACTGGAGACCGTTCAGTCAACAATCATAGCGAGAACAACCCCTGACCTTTTCAAGAACAGCAAACTGAAGCTCCGTTGTTTGGCTACGATGTTTACCTTATATACCTCATCGAGGGAGGCCGAGATACAAGAAGACGCGCCCAAACTCGCCCTCATAATGGTCCAGAACGCTCACTCCAATAAAGGTTTGTTGATTGATTAATTGTTTGCCCGAACTCGTGCCAAGAACAACAAATTATATGGGTTTCTCTTGATACTTCTGCTGAAAAGGCATTTTGATATTCATGTAATTTGTTCGGCTTCAAAAAACTCGATGAGGATGATTGATGACTTGATACAAATGGGATTATTTCGGTGGATTCATGAAAATGGAAACAGCTATTTGAAATCCAGAGTATGGGAAAATAATTTCAATCAGTACGATTGACTGATCCTATTCGGCGTTGAGTCCTTGAGTAATTGAAAAATAGATTTTACTCGTATTACGTTTTGCCATTACTCATTTGCATGTTCAATTGATGAGCTACTCATTTTGTAGGAATTATAGATGGAGATAAAGATGAACTGAAGGTAGTGGATTGTCTTTTTTTGAATATGTTCTGCCGTTACTCATTTGCATGTTCAATTCATGAGCTACTTATTTTGTAGAAATTATAGATGGAGATAAAGATGAACTGAAGGTAGTGGATTAATCTTTTTGAATATGTCATGGCAGTTATTTTTTGAGTCAACGAGAAATATACAGAAGATATATTGATATAAAATTAACAGTTCAGAAATGAAAATAAAAAATATTAGAAAAAAACATGTTTTTTTTTTTCAATTTATCATGCAACTAAAATGTATTCTTGATGAGATATCCTCTTAGAGATAATTTGAACTTATTCAAGTATTTCAGTTATGTCATCCATGTAGACAACAAATAGCTGACTCTCAAGAAGAATAAACATCTGAAGAAGCCAGCCACTCGTGCTGGCGAAACGTTACTCATTTACGTGTTGGATTGATGATCTATTTATTTTGTAGAAATTTATAATGAATATAGATAAAAAAATACTTTTGTGTAATTCCTATTCCTAATTAAATTTAGTACCGTAAAACGGTGTGAAACCAATCGGCAGGGGTGAAACCAAACATAACGTATATTTTGGCATATGTTTTCAGTACATCAGTCTCTAAGTACGCATAAAGAAGGTTTATTTTGTTGGTCAGTCCAGATACGTAGGTTATTTTAGAAGTATCAGAAAATTATTTTTTGGAAACTTGTGTAAACTTTTAGTTGTGTAGTGTCATGCAAAAGATCTAAGAGAACGCGGTGAGTGAATTTGATTTACCTAGCCTTGGTAATAAAAAGTTTTAAATTTTTCATCAACATTACGTATCACTTTTTTCATTTACCTTTTTATAAAAAGTTGGAAAATGGTGGGCTGGAATCGATCAATGACTATTTGGTGTAAATCAGACTCTCTTTTGTTATTCAAGGCTTTTGTGAATTCATTTTGTTGAAAATCGAAGTACTTTCTCTCCCCCTTCCCTCACCCCCTTACAGTCTCATCCTTTGTGGTATAACCGAGGGTATAGTCGAAGTACCGAATATAGTAATCTTAAAGCTATCGGCGAACTCAAAGGCTAAAAAAACCAATACAAAGAATTAATGCCGCTACGAATTAGTCCACGTGGACTGTAGAATTGGCTGTTCATATTGGATAGTTTTTACTAACCGAGTTTTATGATTGGCTGAAGAGTAATAAAATTAAATTTGGAGTCATGTTACGGTGATCAATAGAATGTGAGGATGGTTAGAAGAGTCGTGTTGTCAATGTTCAGTTCAGAAACTGATCGCGATTTGAGTGTTGAAATTTGATATTGATGAAGTTATAATTACTCAAAATGTTTGTTATTTGTTTGAAATTTGGCGTCCTTGGACAAGTACTGATTGTAATAACGAGTGTGATAACAACGCAGACTTTTTCCTGTGTAGTGATTCCAATAGCGCTGGTGAACAATGCGAAAAAGAGATACCAGTGAATAAGATTTGGATGCATTTGAATATTGAAACACAGAGAGTATGTTTCAATGTATATAATAATCTACGTATCAAGTTTGGTTTCGAGGGAAAAAAACTATTACAAGCAACATCAGATTTGACCGAAATTCCTTTCTCAACTGTATGTAAAATAGTCAAAAACAAACCTTATGAACGCAAGACGCGATTTGTTGCGGGATTACCAAAACCTTCAGATGTTCATCTAATGAAACCGAATTTGAACTATACCTATATACAATATTTTATATATTTTTTTATTTAGTTTTAGATTGAAATATACGGAAATATATGAATACGAAAAAACTGGGCCAAGTATATAACTCAGTCTATTTGAAAAGGGCTGTCGAGACGGTCAAATGAGAAATGGCTGTGAGAAGGGCAGGGGAAAACTTTGGAGTACCATTCAGCAAGGTGTACGATAATGTCCGTACATCTGCAGAACGAAAAATTGGAGGCCAACCGGCTCTCTCTGCTGTTGAAGAACGCAAGCTAGCAGACGCTGTTCTCCTGTGTGCTGAATGGGGATTTCCATTCAAAAGCTACGATGTTAGGTACATGGTACAACAATAGTTAACACTGAGGCTGGGAAAACCGAGAAACGGTTTGAGAACAATTTTCCAGGAGTCGACTGGTTCAAATTATTTATGGGCAGACACAAGGATTTGACCATGAAGTTAGCAGAAAAACACAAATAGGGTCAGAGCAGCGGTAACATATGAGGTAGTTCAAAAGTATTTTACCGAATTGGCCACTATCATCGATGGCGTTCCTCCCGCTAATATTATGAACTATGACGAGGTTAAGCTTTGGTCGTTGTCAGAAAAGGCAAAAAATGGTCACAGAGTGATTGATGTCTCTGAGTCATGAACGAGCGTAATGTTCGCGGTGGCAACCCTGTATTGTATACAAAGCCAAACACATGTATGAAGGCTGGACGGAGGGCGGCTTTCCAAATGCCCGGTATAGTAGAACTACAAGCGGCTGGTTTGATGCCGAAACATTAGAGACTGGTTCATGTCCATTGCGCTTCCATATTTCAACTCACTGAGAGAAAATAAAGTTATGTCAGGTGATAATTTCTGCAGACATTTAACAGTCAGCTTCCTCCTAGTTCAACCGACTCACTACAGCCTCTAGATGTTGCCTACTTTAGCCCCCTCAAATATGCATGGAAAAAGACCTTAGAAGATTGAAAACTTTAAAATAGGGGTGTCCTGCTAAAAAACGTTTTTCCCAGACTTTTAAACGCAACTATTGATAAAGTCGGATTGAAAAGTGGGGAAAACACAAAAGCAGGCTTCAAGTTATGTGGGATAGTCCCTTTCAATCCAGACCAAACTCCGAAAAAAATAAGATATTTAAAAAAGATAGAAAATGCTGAGAATGATAATGAAGTAGAGCAAACATGTAGTGACACAATTGTTTCTCACTTAAGAGAATTAAGAACAGGAGGAAAAAGCGCTCTTAAACGAGGCAAAAGGGTAAGTGTGGAGGCTGGGAAAAGTATTACTGTTGGAGACTTAATAAATAATCATGTGGAGAAACATTTTTTATATATCCGAATGTGCAAGACAAATGTGAAGTTAAATGAGATCAGATAATGAGAAAAATTTCTGGAAAGCCCTCAAGGAGAGGGCAATATATCTTCAAATCTTGATTAGAATAGTTATTGTTTTATATTTGTGCATTTGTTTTTTTATTGTCAGTCTCTTCATTTCCAAAATAATAGACAGTATAAACAATTCAAGATAAAAGATTGAACTGGTAGGTATGTATCTTTATGATAATGAACAGAGGTTTTACTTTTTTTTTTATTTCAAAATGAAAAGGTTTTTTTAAAACGGGATAAGTATTCGGTTTCACCCACGAAGTTGCTAAAGTCAAAAAAACATAAAATAAAAGGGACGATCGGTT